TGAGACCCCAAGTTGGGGATGAATTGTAGTTTCCTGAGCTTTCACGCAATTCATCCTCCTGAAGCAAGACCTGTTGTGACCCTACGTGCTTAAAGTGAATTTTCCATGATAGGCATAGAGTAAAGCTGGAGATGTTTCTAATTCTGTTTCCCGATCAGTACAGCCACTACCAGTTCGTTTCATGGACTAATCTTGCTCAGATGCAGTCATGGAGTGGCCACGGTCATTTGAAAAACCTATACAGTATGTATAAACAAGCAGTGGAAACAACAGCAAAATTATTTTCGAGTGTGCCTGGCTCCAGCAAGCAGACTGAGAGATCTCTATTTGCTGTTTATTCTCTTTTGCACTTTGCAGAAATCTCTGTGATTTTATCTGAACATTATTTATTACAAAAATAAAATGTATTATGTAAATGTGAGTTTAACGTCATTTGATATGACTTGAGATAAAAGATGATAAATATATAAAGAAGATTAATTACAGGACTTCCTATAAAATACAGAATACATGTTTATTTTGGACAAAGAAAACCAAGGCTCTATTTGAAGAGATGCAATTAAATGCATATATTTAGATTATATTGTCATGCTAATTAGCAATGGTAGGAACCAATTAGGACTAGGGCTACCAAATCACCAGACTACATTGCATATTCACTAGTCTACCTTTACTGCTCTACTGGTTTTTGCTGGAAGCAGATAAACATGAAATGTGTTCTTTTGAAAGCCCATATTGTTGCACATTTTGAGCCAAATCTTGTTCGTTGTGCTTTCATAAATTGTCCCACAAAAGTTACCGGAACTACTCGTGTGAGAAAGGCGGGCTCTGGCTCTAGGAAATAGATGTGGCAGCTTTGGGTAGCAATTAAAGAAAAACACGAGATGCAAAAAAACCTTTCGATTCAAATGGCTATTGTTTGAATAAGCGAGGTCGGTAATCTGTCGGTTTGCAAAATGCTGGAAATGAGATTTTCATTAAACGCACTTCATTTATCATGCGGGAACGAGGACCAAGTGCCGCATGAACGTAGTTTGTGAAGGTATCGCCTCACAGCCCTGGAGGCTGATGACCCCTCTTTATCTACACAGCAGGTAAGGCACAAACAGTGGCGATGTGAGCTCTCTTTGCAGTCCCCTGCCAGCGTGCCTGACTGCTAAGCTGGGGGAACAAAGGAAAGATAGCATATGGATAGCAGATTGTAGGAGCGCTGAGAGAGGACTGAGGAAATCTATGTTGGGTGTGTGGCTCTGCCAAAGATCTCTTGTATGACTTTGGCCTTGTCACTTAATCTCCTTCTGTCTCCGTTCCCCTTTGCGAACGGGGAGAAGGTGTCTCTCCTCTCCCTCAGGCTTTGCCTGGAAATCTGTTCAGGCCCTGAGTTCTCCTGGACGGTGTGCTTGTGCAGCTTGGGGTGGAGTAAGACTGAGCTTCGCTGGGTGCTCTAGCTGCTGCTACCACCCAAATAATAGGAATTACTATTAACAGAAGAGTAACGAAGAAATCCATGTCTTGTTGATAGATTTTACTCATCTTTTCAGGCCATTCAATCTTTGGCCTCTGGGTGAAGGGTATGAACAAGGCAGGCAATTAGTGTCAGGAACAGAGCTGTGAATTCTTCTTTTATAGGCTTCCAAATAATGCTGGAAATAGTGGTGTCGGTGTTCTCTTTTTTTCACCTGTCTCTTAATGCCTTTTGAAGACATGTGTGCCAAAATAACATCACGGTGTTTCTGCAGCGCACAAACTGAAGGGCTGTGCAAAAGGCTGCATGTTGCTTTACTTTGGCCCTGGAGATGGCTCCCCCGAGGGCTTCGGAAAAAGCCCTCAAAAAATGTAAAGGCTAGGGCAGGGACTAGGGTTTCTGCATCTCCATTATGCACTGTGCATATTTATGGGGCAGTATAAAGAATAAATAATAATCCACAAACACTGCATTCTGTGCCCTTGTCTACCAATTGTGCTGATGCTTTACGTGATGCAGCTACTGCTAATGAAACCAGGATCCGATTTTTAGCTACACCTGAAATGGATGCTTGTTTTGCACCTGCAGTTTTGCAAATATAAATAATTCCGTATGCAATTTTTCAGACATACCCATTGGTGGGTATAGCCGATGCCATTTATGGACAGGTTTTTTCAGAGGAGCCGTAGAAATGGAATTTCAAAATGATACGGATGCCTAAAGCCTCTGTTCTCCTGTATCTTTCTGAGTATATGACAGCGTATCTTCTCTTCAGACAAGGTGTCGCTGGTCTAGAGGAGATCATTTGCACCTGCAGTTGCGCACACGTGCCAAAGAAAAAATGGCAAACTAATGAAATCAGAAATCAAACCCAAGTGCTATTTTTAAGCGAGATTTACTGGACAAACTATTAGGGCTTTAACTCTCATTTCCAGAACATCTAGTGAATTGCCCATGTGTAGAGTTCGCAGGGAACGGCTGGCTTTATTCACATCAGTGGAATAAAATAAGGCCAAGCTCTTTTGGGAGTGAATGGCCCGGCAAGCTTGGGTTTTCAACACCCGCCCCAAAAGGCTGACTGTGCCGTGGCTGTCGAATATGTAAGACTGGCATGGACTATCCCAACCCGCTGCTCACCAAGGTAAAGCAGTTGTCACCTGAAACCCTTCAGGACTTAGAATTTTCTTAATGCTCTGCCTTGTTGTGCGAGCCCATTGAAAGAACACTTCAGAGGGCACCCATTTCTTACTAATGTAAACTTTCTGAGGAGTATCCAAAGATATGACCTCTGGGTGAACCTTTAACCTTCCCCTTAATTATTTGTTTGAAGACAGTGTCGAGTTCTCCCGCTGAGAGCCAAGGCCCATAATGCTTCGCAGCCCTGTGAGCCGGGGTGTGTGTGCAGGGAAGTGGAGAGGGACATAAATAAGGGGACCACCAGATGTAAATAATAAAAGTGGTTGGGGTTTAAATAAAAAGCGAAAAAAGCAATTTGGTTTCCCTGAAGAGTGGCCTGATTGAAGAAAAGGGGTTAGCAAGACGGAAAGCGAGCGCATGGGGGGGGGATGTTTCTCTTGTCTGTGATTTTTTACAGGCCTAAATAAGCGTTCCTTCCATTCTTTAAAACCTTGCCATCTGTATACGCCATTAGAAGCTCGTAGGAGAAGAGAAAACAGTCTTATCAGGCTTTCCTGTTAATCTCTATTGGCCTTAACTTTAGCTGATAAAAGGCACGCTGGACGGAGGACGTTCGGGTCAGGCTCCATTTGGCCAGCACGGTAATGTTACTGGAAAGTAGCTCAGCGAGTTAAGTCCTATCGGGGACCTTTGTCTTTGAGGACGGAAACACGCCTCGAAATCACAGCGCTGGGGAAGGAGATGCCTTCTCCTGTGCCGCAGTCAGAAGGGAATAAGCAAGTACACCGACTGTGTCTGAGTTTTTATTTTAATACCTGTAGTCATGACTAATTCTGAGGCAGGATGACATTTCTGACAACTGAATTATACTTTTTCCAAAAGAAGAAAGAATGTCTTTTGGATGTAAACAGAGAGATGCAAAAGAGGCCTTTAGTGTTACTTGTAGCATTTATGCGTCTGTCTAATGAAATTTCCACGACTGTGATTACGGAAGATGCAACCGAAGGTGTGCCACCGTCTTTTATTTTCTGCGGAGGAATTTAACCGGGGGGTGGGCGGGAGGGAGGGCAGCGCGACAAAAGGCCTTGCGGAGTTGATGCTGTATACAGGCTAGCAATTTACTAAATGAGCAGACGAACTCAGTTTTCAGTTAACCGACTGAAAGACTGCGCTAGGCGTTGGATCGGGCCCAATGGCAATTATGGGAGGCTGTTTTGGATGATGGGCATGTTAGTATTTCTGAAGAGGATTAAACACTAGTATTCGACTTCATTAGCACTCCTTAAGGGTCACCAGCCGAAAGCCTGAGCTGTGAAATAGCACACAAAACCTGCGCGAAGGCTCCAAAGTGTTCTCAAACACAAAGGGAGGGGGGACAAAAACAAGCGTGGCTCCTGAGTGATAGAAAATTGCCCTGTTTGGAAAGAAACTCCATGAATAGGCAAGTTTTAAAATTATTTTAGGGAAATTAATTTGGCTTAGCTTGTGCCGATGTGGATCGCTGCGCATTAAGCTAATAAGAAATATGCAAGCACTTATTTTTGGATTACCAGCAAAATTAAATCCAGGCTCCACAGCCAACTAACTGCCTTTACCAGCGCTCAAAAGCCTCGGCAACCGCCCCGGTTTGAGGTTAAAAAAAAAAAAAAAGAAAAAAAGAAGGTTATTTTGGGCCTAATATTAACCACATGTACCTGCGACTGGGGGTTGCTAACGAGTTGAAAGGTGCCTGAGTTTAGGGCGGGCGGTCGCCTTGCGCGGGTGTCCCCGCTCTGCTCGCCGGGCCGCAGAGGTCGTCCCCAGCTGGCACTGACCTCCACACGACCCCCGCCTTCACAGGCCCCAACTGCAGGAGTTGCAGAGGAGCAGAAGTCTTTCTGGGCCGGCACTTATTGCCGCTGCGCTGGTGATAAAA